TACGTGAGCCTAGGCCTAGATGTCTATGCTTGGTTATATACCCAGATTTACACGAGCAGTGCGCATCGGTGACTTGGCCTTTGCCGACAACAAGGTTGACTGAATGCAGCTTTTCCCTCTTCCTTTGGGAGCGAAATACAGAGACTTTTACAATAATTTCCCCACCATGTTCCATGAAATAGATTAACACTATGAATATATGATTCATTTGCATACCGCCTACCCTGAATTCTCTTTCTTAAAGAAGGTTGATAGCAAAGAAAATCTTCGCCAACTTGGTAAGTGTAGCCGCCATTTGTCTAAGATTTTCATGACTTTGTGGGCGGGGTTTCGCGTCCTTGTCGACCTGTCTCTTATACACATCTAGATGTGTATAAGAGACAGTATATATACAGTTCGTTCACCAAAAATAGTATAATAAAATAAATCTAAATTAGATTTTTTCAGTAAGTTAGAAAGAAGGAAACAATGAAAGAACACAAAAATCAGAATATAAAGCAATAAGATATTGAATAAAAATGTCCTGTAAAATACGTTCTGTTTAAGGTGTTAAAAGGGCGTATTTTTATGTTAAAAATACTGGAAAACTAATACTCTTCTCGTTTGAGATAGTGCCTACAAATTGCAAAAGCAAAGCTAAATTATAAACGTAGTAAGAGCCAGAGGGAACCATTAAGCTTATTTAATCAAGGCACGGTATATAAATGATTTTGAACGTTATTAATATTAAAGAAGAATCTGCTGGTGTTGTGTTGAAAAAGAAAAAAGTTTTCCCAATCGAGATTCGAACATAGTAGTCTTGAAGTACAATTTCATGATAAAAGTTCACACTAAAATACCTAAACACTGAAAGGGAAATGCTGGATAAAAAACAGCAGTCTTAAAAAACATAATAGGCCAGTTCTGTACAATTGAGTTGTACATTTATTTATAACGCGAAGTTAACGTAATAAATTTAAGTGGAAACGCAATTCATCTTTTGTGTACACGCGATTCTCTTCATCTTTCATGGTTCAGCAGTAGTTAGCAGTGAAGATTAGGTAAGGAAACGCTGGGCTGGGGAAAGGAGAGGAAACCTAAGCTCTGGAGAGTACAAGAATAACGAAGCAATAACAGTCACTGTATTTGCATCCTTGTACAGGGATTTTCTGCTTAGGCCACCTAACTAGGACTATCAGCTAGGCCTTATGCCTAGCCATGTAACGCTAACCGGGTAGCCTAGGGCCTATATGCCCGCTACTACTAGGGCTAGGCCCTAGGCCTAGCTAGGCTAACTAAGGCCTACTTGGTTAGTGTTACGTGGCTAGGCATAGGCTCCACAGGAGCATAGACGTATGGAAGGCAAATGACGCCCAAACTAGTAGGAAAATAATCCATAAGATACAAAAACGCAAGATTTTGTAGCAATTCTAATTGAAACAGGGGTGGCGCAATGGGGAAAAAGAAACCACAATTCGTCGGGGAGAAAAAAGTCTAGGCATAGCCTAGTAGGCCTAGGCTATTTTCTACTACATATTACAAATAGTAGAATCCAAAATTGATTTAATATAAACCTTTGAAACCCCCTAAATTGTCATATTTTTACGGGGCTATGCCCACTGGAACACTTTCGAGAGATTTTGAGCAACGCCCGATCATGCCCACTTTTTTTCGTTTGGGACATCAGTCCCTGTCAGGCAAATGCTGGTGCCACCACTGAATTGAAAATCCAAGGAGGCAAGGTTTTAAACAAAGAAATTAACATTGCTGGAGCTCACAAACTTGTTAATTTAGCTCTAGAAAAACAGAAATAAGTTAACACAAAATATGAAATTTTCGGTATATGATATAAAATATAAATCTCAAAATTTGCCAATAATTATGAAAGAAAGCAAAAAAAATTAAAAATGCAATTTCTAAAATGTTAATTGCATAACAACTACATTGAATTAAAATAAGATTTATAAAAAACAACAGAAAAAAAAACCATATAGTCACGTGATCAAAAATTTTTTCTCAGACATTTTAATTTCCTTAGACAGCTCGTTTAAACGCGAAACATATGTGAGCCTAGGCCTAGATGTCTGTGCTTGGTTATAGATACACAGATTTACACGAGCAGTGCGCATCAGTGACTTGGCCTTTCCCCACAAAAAGGTTGACTGAATGCGGCTTTTCCCTCTTCCTTTGGGAGCGAAATACAGAGGCTTTTACAACAATTTCCCCACCATGTTCCATGAAATAGATTAACACTATGAATATATGATTCATTTGCATACCGCCTACCCTGAATTCTCTTTCTTAAAGAAGGTTGATAGCAAAGAAAATCTTCGCCAACTTGGTAAGTGTAGCCGCCATTTGTCTAAGATTTTCATGACTTTGTGGGCGGGGTTTCGCGTCCTTGTCGACATGTCAATTATAGTCAGGTTTTGAGTACACTATTCGGAATAGAAGCCGAAGGAGCCATTATTTCCAGGAAAAATTGACTGAAGCCCACAGGGCTGAAGAAACTTTTTGTAGGAAATAATGGTTTGAAGAAAATAAAGTACCATAAAGCATCCATATATCTCTAACTACTAGTGTCTTGGAATTTGCAGGTGTGCGTATTTGTTGAAGCCAGAAATACTATCAAGGATGAAAGGATCATTTAAAGTGTTTCGGTAAGCAGTAAAAATATGGTCTATACCACCAATACTTATTTTTTCAGTTTGAATTACATGTTTATATTCTTTTTTTTTTTGTATAACTAGAAGGTTGGCTATTGGAGCTGTGGTAGGGACTGCTGCTTCAGGCCTAGGGATATACCATCATAAACAGGTATTGAAATTGTCTGCTATCATGGTGTACTTGTACTACCACTGGCATATCTAGGAGTGTTGAAATAGTGGGAGCTGAATGTGAAGGGAGGGGGGAGATAGCCAGATAGAGAAGGTGATATGAAATCATTTTTAACTACTTGACCCTTTTTTTGTTGCTTTAAAATATTTCCAGTGTGGGTGTGACTGGGGACACAAGTTTTTGTGGGAGGGGGAATACTGCCCCAGTTATGCTAAGTTATGCTACTGACTACTAATCATTTGGGTAATTTTAATTAAATATATTTTAAGTTGACAACCACAGACTCTGCCCTAACAAGTAAAAGTAAGCATGTTTTTTTTTCTATGTAATTATTGTTTTCCTGAAGTCAGCTGATCATGGCTGTCATCAATGCAAACAGCAAACTTCAATAGAACCACGTCACATGTAACAGCTTCTCTCTCAATGGTGTAACTGACCAATGGTATATAAGAGACTGTTTTTTTTAATTTTTAATTGGATCAACGTGCCAGCTCAGACTATCTTGAATGACTGCTTGAATGACAACACATGATGATCACTAATGCTTGATGGTTCACCCCTCCAAATGTTGGATAAGTGGCTCACCTGCTTGAAATATTTTTTTTTTGATAGAATAATCAAGATGATATATATTATATGGTTTTATTTTTCACCTGAATGTTTAGACGCTTGTGTTTGCCACTACCAGAGAATTTGTAGATTTTGATAAATTTATGGCAGCTCCTGTTACACCTGTGAAGACACTAATTGAGGTAAGTGTTATGCTATAATTATACACTATACACTTCATATGTTAATACAGTGGTTATGAAATAAATGTCATTGTCCCATCAAAATTCAAACCCAACACCCATCAAGTTTCTGTTGAAGCCAATTTGGTGTACACATTTTTAAGTGTGTTGTTGATTGTTGTTTAATGTTTGTCGGTTGCAATTATCATATCAATTGGAATTTTTCAGGATTCTGACACAATGAAATCAAGAATGGAGTTCATGATAATGAAGACACAGGTTGGTGTAAAGCTTTTCAATTCATGGTTGTGGTGGTGGTGTTAGTGAGAATGATGGTGGTGGTGGTGGCAGTGGCAAGTTGGATGGCAAGGACAAGGAGGAGGAGATTCTGGTGCAGGATAATAAAGCCAAATGGCGGATGCTGATGATTGAAGGAGGATGGTTGAGGTGTTGGTGATAATATGGTGATAAATGTTGATGAAGTTGACTTGATGAAGATGGGAATGGTGATGGCAATGACAATAGTGTTGAAAAGGAGTAGGATGACAGTAAGATGGAGGAGTATGAGATTATTGCAGTAGAGGATGATAATGATGGAAAGGAGAATGTGAAAGATGTTGATGGTGTTGATTTTGAATCTTATAAGGAGTAAGATAATAGTAAGATGGAGGAGTATGAGATTATTGCAGTAGAGGGTGATAATGATGGAAAGGAGAATGTGAAATATGTTTTAACATTAAAATGGTGTTGAATTTGATGGTTATAAGGAGGAAGGTGATGTTTATGAAGTGGAGTATGACAAAGTGACTTTTATTATGATATTCCCTTGACTCCTAACAGGCAGAAGTTTGCCGAGCTCTTGAGGAGGTTGAAGGGGGTGCAAAATTTAATGTGGACAGATGGCAGAGGAAAGAGGTAATGAATTAGAATAACCAGGAAATTCTTGTGTAGTTGTGATTGTTGTAAGATAAAAAGTATAATAACTCAAATGTAAAGGCACTTAATTTATTTGAGGACTAATGAAATAATGAATACATTTTTTATATTTCCTAGGGAGGGGGAGGAATTACCTGTATTATGGAAAATGGTAAAGTGTTTGAAAGAGCTGGTGTAAATATATCTGTAGTCCATGGTGAGCTATCACCAAAGGCTGTTGCCCAGATGAGGTCGAGGTAAGATGACCTTTCACCTTTTCTGCTCTTAGGTAGGCTTTTACATCAGTCTTCAGAATATATTCTTATTCTGTGTTACCTAAGTCCTAGGTTTTCAAACTTTTTCAGGTGGTTATTAATTGTTCACTTCACTCACCTCAGTCCCACAATGGTTGTAGCTGATGTGAACAAAGTTGAAGCATGTTCACCTTTAAATTTCTGAAAATATTGCCTTATCCATTTTTTGCAGGGGGAAAAAGTTGAAAGAAGGCAAACTTCCATTCTTTGCTGCAGGGGTGAGCTGTGTTATCCATCCTGTAAGTGTTACAAAATAATGATGCACAAAATATATCAAATGATCTCCCAGATCTCAGTGGCTGACCCAGGGATTATTGAAATGAATGCTTGGCTCCCCCAGCCTTCTCTGGCAGCAGCCAAATAAATAAGCATGAAATTATGTAGGCAGAGATAAAGTTGCTAAAACGCCCTTATCTATTGTCCTTTGTTGATGTTCCATGATTCCCCCCCCCCCTTTCCACTAAAAGGAAGAACTTTCTTAACCATCTTCCTTGGTCCTTGATTGACACTTCATCTTTTCCCCACCATCTGGATCCTCGATTTACCACAGAGTTCAACAATTCTGAAAGTCCTTGCAAATAAATTTTATTGATTTCATTGCAGCGTAATCCAATGGTTCCCACGTTACATTTCAACTATAGATATTTTGAAGTGCAGCAAGATGGTAAACATGAGTGGTGGTATGGCGGAGGTACCGATCTTACGCCTAATTACTTGGATAAAGATGTAAGAATATTGCTATTGTCATCATAATAGGGCCAATTTTGTATTGTATTATCAGTCTCTGTTTTCAGTTTTTTTTTTTATTTGATTGTAATGTATTCCTAAAGTTAACCAATTTAAAAAAAAAAAATCATTTCTACATCACATTTTAAAAAATTATTCATGCAACTATTTTCAATTAAGTTACTGTATGGGTTTCATAATTATGAAATAAATAAATATAATTCAATAAGTTAATTAAAAAATTCAATATTTTTCATTAGTTACTAATACTGCTGCTGTTGCCGTTACTATTATTTATTAATTGGCATTTCTTTATTCAAAAACATCAGTAGCAAATCTAGAAATTTGAAATAAAGTGGAGCCTAAAGCTGCATTTACACTAGGCATGATAACAACACGACGACGACACAATAAACATGTGCTCAGTGTTGGAAGAATATAAATGACGCGATGATATGTCGTTGTCTTGTCATTATTGTGTCTAGTGTAAATGGAGCTTAAGAGGGACTTTCACAGGTGGAGGGTCTAAGAAAATTCATGATTACGTCATGTCACATCTAGACGGCTGAAATTGGAACTCTCTTTTTTTTTAATTATTATTATTTCGACATATTTTGGGGAATCTGCCACTGAACATAAAAATATTTTAAAAAGTCAGAAAATATACACCATTTTATCGGGTCTATTTTGAAACAGAAGTCCCCCAGTGACAAGCAGCTGGCTTGTTACCAATAGAGCACCGCGCAGCTTATAGTGTCGCTAGACCTTTGCTATAGAAGCAGCAGAAAATACATATGATCTTTCGCCAATTACTGTATGTAAACTTTGAAATAGCTTTTTAAGACTTAGACTTGTTTTTAATATCAACGTTCCTTTCTTTTTCCATTTTAAAGTATTTGTGATTGTTAGTATTTATAGTTTTATAGTTTACTTAATCCATGATGGTAGGTACGTAAAGTGAAATGCTAGGCCCCCGGATGTTCCTTAGCGGTAGTTGCCAGGTTATTGGAAATTTTCATTTCAAATATGGCGAAAATGGTGTATAGCAGCACTGACATGCATCTGCATCTTGAGCTGAATTGAATTTCATGATTAGGCCTCCTTCAAAAAGGGCAAAAAAGAACAAGGAGAAAATGCCAAGCAATGAATAAGAAAAATCCAAGTCAACCATACTTAGCCAAGAAAACCAACGACCGAGTTCTCAGTTCACAAACAATTTTATTTAACATATGCTTTCATATCTTCATCAGGATGTCAAACACTTCCATGGAACTTTGAAACAAGCCTGTGATAAGCATGATGAAACATATTACCCAGAATTCAAGAAATGGTGCGATAACTATTTTGTAGTTGAACACAGGGGTGAGATTGATTTGCTAGTGTTCCATTAACAACCATTATGTTTTATAGTATTGTTCTTATTATCGTTGTTGTCAGTCAGTGATTCCATGAGCATCACTTATGTGCCAGATACCATTGCTTTATAAATGGTCATTTATTATTTTTGTAGGATCACGATTTGCATTTTCTAGCCCTTGTGTGTAAGCCCATGCCAAACCTTATTCACTGAGGAACTACTACAGTACATTTTTATGGCTCAACTTATCCTCTGTGACTTAACATCCTCTTATACAACTTTTTTTTACACTATATTTATAGAGGGTGATGCTTCTAGCTTAGCTAATATTTATCGTCTAGTGCACAAATTTTTTTTACACTATATTTATCAAGGTTGGCTCTTTCAGTTTCAGGGGCCCTCTTAAAAAAATGAAGTTGAAATAATAAGATGCTTCATGAACTAAGCGTCATTATTAGGCTAAGGTAGTTGAGATGTTTTTTAGTCGTGAAAAAAACTCCCGTGCTGTCAGAGGATTTGAACCCAGGACCAGGGATTGGAAGGCAAGCATCTACCACTAAGCTACATCTCCATAACTCTTCATATATGGGACGAGTCCCCAAGTTCCCCGCATTTCGTGGGAGTGTCTCGGAAACCTGGGTGGCCTACCACAGTCTCGCAAGCAAGCAAGAATCTCACGGAAACTAACCCATCTCCCTCAATCTGCATGCTTTTACTACTTCATTACCTATTTCTTATTAAATGTCTCACAGAAATCAGTGTTGATGTATATCACCATAAGCAGCAAAATGAAATTAGATGTGTTAAGAAAATTCATTTAACCATCTTATCTCCTGGAATTGACTTCTTCCAACTTTGGGACCCCTCAACTTTTCTTTTATGGCTCAACTCATCTTCTATAGCTAAGTTTATCCTCTATTGCACAACTTACTCTCTAATTGCTCAACAAAAAACTTTATGTTATCTTTGTATCATTTTGCAAGTTAGCAACTAATGATGTGTTTTAAATCCTCAGGTGAGAGAAGGGGCGTTGGTGGAATCTTCTTTGACGATGTTGATAAGCCATCGCAAGAAGCGGCTTTCTCTTTTGTTAAGGTAAACTTATCGTTTTTAATCTATTGCTACTGGATGGTGGCTCCAGACTGGAGTGTTCCACTAGGCCATGTGCCCCTTGGATATATTGTTGCGAAGGTCAGGCCTGGAAAAAAATATTTGTGCCTCTGACCATGAATGTTGTCTCGATAAGATGCCTCCAGCACCAAATATTATCTGTACACTATATAATTATTTATTTATTTTTTATTTTTTCCCCAAAAATGCCTCCGGGATATTCATGATGCCTCTGACCAATCGCGCACTTTTTCCTGCCCTGGTCAACATTCCACAAAATGGCAGCATAAATGTATGTAAACATAATAAATGCATACTCTTGGCCCTTTTTTGATTGGTCTAGCCCAACCCATATTGGAGATAATATTGTGTATGTATTGTAATTTTGCCTATGCATGAAATTTAACTTGCAATATATTGGGTTTTTTCCTAATTACTGTAATTTAATTTTTTAACATTAACATCATTTTTTTCATTTTAGGATTGTGCTAAAGCAGTTCTACCATGTTATTTACCAATAGTCAAAAAACATATGAATGATGGTTACGGATACAAAGAGAGGTGAGGATGTGAGCTCTATTCATACTATCAAGTTTATGTGAATTGCTAGCATATGAACATGATGATATGTCACATCCATATATGGGCATAATGATGTCATATCATACCTATATATGTGCAGGCCACAGGTATTTATCACATACAGTTTGATAGTGTGGATAAGGCTTTAGTTTTTTAGTTGTTTCTATAATTTGCAGTAAACTCTGTCATACTAACAAATTATTGTTTTCAGTAGCGTATCTAGAAGTCTTGAAATTGGGGGGGTGGGGGCTGATATGGGTGCGAAGGTAAAGTGGGGGCTCAATGTTGGGGTGAGGGAGTGCTAAGTCACAAAATATGGTGATTCAAGGGGATTTTAACTACTTGATTTTTTTTTTGGGGGTGGGGGTGGTGAGATGTGACTGGATATGCCACTGATTGTCGTATTGGGGACTGCATTGAGTATTTTTTTCTGTATTCATGAAGCTTATTATTGATTACAGACAGTGGCAGTTACTGAGAAGAGGAAGGTAAGTTATTTGTTTGAATTCATTTAAAATTGATTATTTGATTTTAAGTGTGTGTGTTTTGCGAATTAAATATTATTATTCTTGATATTTGTGTGTCATAATGCTTAACTGATATTATTTTTTATATTATTTTTAGTATCTTTATTCCTCAATTGGTTTTAAAAAGTAGACCGTTCATTAATTAAATTATCAATACTATAATTAAATTATCAATAATATAACTGTTATATTATTATAATTGTTATTCTTGATAATAATTCCTTTAAAAGTATGTTCAGTCATTATTTATTAAATTATAGATACTGGTATTATTGATATTATTGTTATTGACATCATCATTATTATGATCACCATTGTCATCAATATCAACATCATTATCGTCATCAACATCATAATTATCATCATCATTGATTATTTGGATCATGGTAGAAGCATTTCCCTGACGGTCCTGTTTTTAACCGATTCTATTACCACCACGTAAAAACCAGAAGTATAAAAACATTGAGTAAGTACATACTGTACTTGCCGAGCCACAGGGCTCATAGGGCTGGAGCTTATCTCAAGTTTCAAGTAGCTTGTAGCAGATGAGAGCGTGATTCTCCCCCTGGGTGGGACGCTGGTCCATCGCAGGTTGCTCCCAGTGATTTACTGGTACCCATTTACAGCCACCACGAAAAAGAATAAAAATTCCAGAAAAAGTTTTTCTTTATTTTTATTACACCTGCCGCAGCCTATGTATATTTCTTCCTAATATATCAATTTAAAAAATTTAACCATCCCATTACTACACTGTTTACATTCACCAATAAAATTTTATTTTTATTTTCTCCTCCATCTGGAGGTTTTTGGCAAAACCATTTGCTAAATAAGAAAATAAAATTTTTTCCGCCTTCTCTAACAATCTTAAAAAAATAAGTTTGCAAAACAAGGTATGCATTTCATATTTTTGCACCAGGAACATATACATTTCTTTTTTTGCTTTCATTTAATTTTTTCTAGATATGTGGAATTTAACCTTGTCTATGACAGAGGAACCAAGTTTGGTTTGTTTACACCTGGAGCCCGTATTGAGAGTGTGCTCATGTCGCTTCCTCAGACAGCGGTAAGAAAATAATTACACTTTTTTGTAAATAAAAGTGCAGGTTAATGTCATTAGCTAAGTTAGCATTATTGTTAATATGCACTTTACGCAACAGGATAGTAAGACAGGTGGATGGTGGTTCTGTGCTCGTCAGAGCGTGAAGACTACAGTAAACACTTGCGCACTTAACCCGAATTCCCATTGTCAACGGCTCTTGTTTGTTTGTTTGTTTATTAATATTTCTCCACATATACATAAATTAGAAGTACTGTAAAAAAAAGTATGTGGATGGTGGCCAAAATAAGTTTGAAAACAAATTTTAAGATATGACCACCATTAAAAATAATTAATAAATCATTATTAGTACGATGACAAAAATAAATTTAAAAAAAAATAAATAATATGCAAAATTAAAAATTAAGTTTTAAGTAGTCTGGTTTTTATAAACAAATAAGAATTAAATATATACAGCCAAGAAGAGGAAGGTAAGTTATTTGTTTGAATTCATTTGATTACACCTGCCGCTGCCTTGAAATAAGATATGTATATTTTTTCCTAATTAAATCAATTAAAAAAATTTAACCATCCCATTACTACACTGTTTACATTAAACAACAAAATTTTATTTTTATTCTCTTCTGTCTGCATATTTTTGGCAAAAACATTTGCTAAATAAGAAAATAAAATTTTATTTTCATTTTTTCCGCCTTCTCTAACAATCTTTAAAAATAAGTTTGCGAAACAAGGTATGCATTTCGCACCAGGAACATATACACTTCTTTTTTTGCTTTCATTTTTTTTTTTTTTGTAGATATGTGGAATTTAACCTTGTCTATGACAGAGGAACCAAGTTTGGTTTGTTTACACCTGGAGCCCGTATTGAGAGTGTGCTCATGTCGCTTCCTCAGACAGCGGTAAGAAAATAATTACACTTTTTTGTAAATAAAAGTGCAGGTTAACGTCATTAGCTAAGTATAGTTAGCATTAGTGTTAATAGGCACTTTACGCAACAGGATAGTAAGACGGTGGTTCTGTGCTCGTCAGAGCGTGAAGAAAACAGTAAACACTTGCGCGCTTAACCCGAATTCCCATTGTCAACGGCTCCCCATCCTGTTGCGTAAAGTGCGTTTTGTCTAGGTGCTAGCATCACTGGAGCACCAGTGCAGGCTGGCCCTATGCGCTTTAATCTGCTACTGCACTGGACAGCAATGACTGGTCTCCCAGCCTAGGCTTTTTCGATTCATGCCTTATTTTCAAGGTTGAGTTGGATTTATTTTATGGTTTATTTTTGTTTATTTGATACATTTCAATTTTGGTGCATTTTAATTACAGGTCTCCCTCTATTAAAGACCCCTCCAATTAAAGATGACCTCCAGTAAAAACCAATTTTCTGTGGTCCCAAATCAACAAATGTCTTTTATCTTCATTATTCTAATTAGAGACCAAAGCTGCTAAAAACCATGGTAACCACAGTCCCAATAGTGGTCTTTAATTGGAAGCAAACCTGTATTACAATTATTATTATTATTATTATTTAGTACTATTCACAATCAGATTTTGGAGTTTTGTGTCAATGCAGAAAAACTTGGAATATTAAGCGTTTGTGTGTAATACACAAAATTTCAAAAACCTAGTTTATTCCAGTAGTACACTAAAAACAATAATTTTAAACTAGCAAAAATTCAGAGCCTTCTGATTTTTTTTAAATATTTGTATTAAGAGCATAAACTCTGATTTTGAAGTATTTGTATACACTGTACATACACTCTGATTTTGGAGTTGAATTTTGATAAGTGGGTATTTATTTTGAATTGTAGAAATGGCAGTACAAGCACACACCAGAAGAAGGTAGCAAAGAATGGGAACTTTGGCAAGTTTTAAAAACTCCACAAAACTGGGTTTAAGTATGAACACAGTCAATACACAGAGATATATAATATAAATATGATTTATAATGAAGTAATTGAAAAAAAGAAAGGTTTATGCAGCAATTATTTTTATAAATTACTTTTTTATTTCTCGTAAAACGGTGCAATGATCAAGGAATTTTACAGTGATTTATGAATAGTGATTGATTGATTGATTTGTTTAGTTTATTGATTGCGTACATCTCACACAACTTGATACGCTAAGCATTCACAGTTAAAATATTTGTGCTTTCTTACCAAATTAATGAAAATAATATTGTTAATAACAATAAATTACTAGTGCATTCCTCCGCCTTGCCCCACCTCAAGAAAATAATGGAATCACCTGTCGTATTCAGGCACATTGTTTTCTTGAGTGCTGCCTGAATATGAGGGTTGATTCCATAATTTTCTTTTATGCTTGAGGGTAAAAAATTGAATTTTCTATGACCTTGTCCTTTGACCTTTTCTTCCGAAAATTGAATGGTGTCTTTCTTCGATTATTATGTACCATTCCACTAGATTTTAAGAATTTTTGCTTAATCTTGCTGACAGACAGACAGCCAGCGGTGAATACATAACCTCCTTGGCGGAAGTAATTAATATCTTAAAGAAAGAACTTAGATTGTTCTTTAAATCAAAAATATGTATATTTTTTTATTATCAATTTATAGAAACAGATTATTATTATCTTATCGTATTGTTAAAAAGTTTATTATAACAAACTGGAAGATCATAGATAATAATACATATAGTTTGTGTACTTTTTTATTTCTTAAGTGTGTTTTGCTTTGTTCCACCCCCACCAACATTTCATTTGCGTTTTATATTTTCATTATTGGTTTCATCTGAGTTTTCAACTATTGTTGTATGCTAAATTTTAATTCACTTTTTTTTAAATGTAAGCCCCGTCCCTGGTAAGGTAAACAATGCCGTGGCTTAAATGTATTACGTAAACATGTGTGTTTTTGGAACGAGCATGTATTCCTACCCTTTTCTAGGTAGTTCAGTGAAATGTGACACTCTGGAAACGTTCATGAAATCTTCATCTTATCTGTCACCTCTTCTTTTGGTGGATTACAGAAATGGGCCCAAATGTGATCATTGGCACTATTCAGGAACAGTCTGTGATGTATCCGCTGCATTGTGTCCTCCATATGATTATCATTTAACCATTTATCTCCAAAGTTCTTGTACATTAATAGTGTAAAAGCTGACATTTCGTACCGATGGGTGTGCATTCGGCCAACTGGTTTCACAGTGTGTTTGGTTGATCCAGAAGGCGCAATACAACTTAGTGATAATGCGCACGCCCTTAGTGGCTGTAACATTGTTGTATAAATTGCTGAGTTGTTAACTAAGAGCAGTGCATTTCCAGAGAGTATTGGAGCATTTGGATAAGTGTTTGTAAAGTTTGTGTGTGTTAAGTTAAATATGTGATAGGCGCTGGGATGCGTCACATCAACAGCTCTGTTCTTGCGATCTACGTTGCCGATGATTCCATGGCGTTCTTTGACGAATGGCAAAAGAAGACTGATAGGAGCTCTGAAGCGATTTTTGGGACTTGTAAAGTAAACAGCAGCATACTCTTTTAGAAGATCCTGGGAATAGAAAAATGTATTAACTAATTTTCGAATACAATTACTTTGTTTAAAGCACAATCATGTGATATTTAAGGTTTAAGGCGAGATCACTTGAGAAAGACCTATGTTCGAAAACGTTCGTAAACATCTATTTGAAATAAATTGCAGCAAATTCACCACTTCGTCTGTTTGATTGAATATATATGTAGTAGTAGTTTATGTCAAATATATTTACTACTTCTTGTTCTTTGTTGTAATTATTGTAAATCTTGATTTGTCACTCATAAGCCAAAATTGGCTGACCTCACCCAATGTAAAGTTAATAACGAATCTAATCTAAACACAGTTACCAACATAGCTACGTGTATGCCTATGAACCAATATTCAGTAAGAGGAAGATCCACGTAAAAATAGTAATATTAATACAACGGGCCAAAAGATCCCTTGCTCTGTTTCATATAGTGGTGGATCCCCCACCCCTGGATTAAAGAAACAGTTAGTGGGGAAAGGAAATTCCATGTAATTTTTACAGAATGCGAGACTAAAATCAAAATAAGCTTTTAAACCCCCTGAATATTTGGAGACCTTCACCAGCTGACCGCCTCTGACCTTTAGGTGTCTGTGCTGCCCCTGGCCTTGTCCACTTATACTCCTGTAGGGGAAATTGGCTTTCCCGTCGTAGACATGCTCTTTCCCATTCCTCACACCTCCCCCCGTTGGGAAAATTTTCGAGCCACCTCTGATGTAATAGTTCTTCCACGTCCACTAACATCTTCCGACACATATTTTACTCACCCTGATAACAAGGAACTTCCACGCTCCGTTTTCATGATGCTGCACGTGAATTGGGTAATTGTTATATGGAAGTTTTCTCACTTCTACATTGCACAGAGCTTTCATCTGAAATTTGTGTCATCCAAAATGTACAATAAAAGTAAATGAATATTTTATATTTTTATATAATTGTATTTATATTTAAAAATTTAGCCTCTGTACTGCCAATTGTATTTTGATGTTTTTATACCGAAATAAATAAAATAAATATACATATATATACATATGTATACATATATATTTATACAGGGTACATACATATACATATATATTTATACATACATATATACATACATATATGCATACACGTACATATATATATATATATATATATTATAATAATAATATTCATATATATATATACATACATTCATATATATATACATGCATATATACATACAGTGGTGGATCCAGAGCCACCTCAGCCCCACAATGTAAATATGTTCATCAACCAGAGTGCTAAAGCTTTCAAAAACAACGTCCTTTATCATTCAATGAAGGTTTTTCTTATTCCCACTAAAAGCAGTGGACTTCACTTTCTGCATATGCGTTGAACAGTGCTAGTAATAAGATGGGTACTGTATAGTGCTATCTACAATCCATATTAGTTGAATAAAACTGCATCGCTTTAGGCCTACGTTAAAAAGTGAGTACAGTATTAACATACTTACAGTCTCTAATCTTTTTTGATAAATTCCAAAATTATAAACAATAATTTGTTTGTTAGGCATGTGAGCCTGGATAGATGCGATCATTCCTAAGCCATTCATGATTTCCTTCTGTCCAAATCCAGATACTATGACGGTCCTACGGTCCAATTCCGATAGGTCCGGTGCCATTTCTTGGCCTAAGTCAATCGTACTGTTGCTAATGTATACATTGTTGTCAGTTCTGTAGCTGTACACAGGCTTTCTGTTGGGATTGCGTGTTATCATTTCGATGTTTTTCTCTACGAGCAATAATTTAGTTTTTCTACCTTGCATCAGAACTGTAAATAAGTTATATTTCATAAATTGTTAATTTTAACAATCATTGATTTTAGCAGTTATTTTAAAAATGCCCTCAATTGACTTAATGCTCACAAAAAAAATTGTGTTTCTACTTAGGCCTAACGTTGACAATCGAATAAGCACCTTCAAAAAAGTTCCACTCTCGATTAATCGCCACAAGGCTTTTTTTTTCCGGTAATCGCAGCTTTCGAATAATCATCACGAAACTCTCCCACCTAGGTTGATTTATCCAAGAGTCGAGCGAGTTCTTCGAGTTAAAAACTCGTGATTTAATTCGCTTGGGAAAGGACCTTATACGAGGTTACTACGTGTTAGCTACAAGTGAGGTACGACCTTACAGAGTTGGTTACGAGTTATGCCGAGCGAAGCACCGAGTTTATTACGAGCTTTACGAGATTATTACGAGTGTAATGAGTTTGTACCGAATTAGATACGAGTTAGGTACGAGCATTCCGATCACATGTTCCTGGTGATCGTAACCAACTCGGTGCGCTCGTACTTAACTCGTACTCATTTCGGAGTGCTCGCATCAAACTCGTGGATTACAAAACCGTCATCGAGTATCCCGAGTAGTGTACGAGTTAGTAAAAGTACCCCGAGTACTCTACGAGTTACCTACGAGTCCTTCGAGTTTACTACGAGTTGTCAACTCGTAACACTAATTTTGAACATCAGTGGCGGATCCAGGTTGGGGGTGGGGTTCAGGGGGTTCGGACGAACCCCCTCTGTGAAGAAATGTAACAAAATACTACTGGGTCCTGGCTTACAAAATTCATGATAACTCCTAGATGCGGATCCAGACCTTCGCCCACTTCGCCCAGGCGAAGATCAGGGTGAGAAATCAAAATAAAATGTTGACCATTTTTTCCAATAATCATACTTACTTTCCTTGACACTTATTTTGAAAATAACCATTAGGAAAATGTTTAAATTCACGCTATCCTATACTTTACACTTTAAAACTGATTGTACCAGAGAGAGGTACATTCCCAATACATATGGTCTTCCACTTCTGTAGCGCATGATATATGCATAGCAAACGTTATGTAGCCACTAATAATACTCAGGTCCAGTGGCGTAGGTATGGGCAGTGCAGTATTGGGGGCTCGTTCAATAGGTCTAATCTGGTCTAATGATCTAAAAATATAACTTTAAAAAATCCTATTAAAACTTTTAAAGGACCCTTCAATAATATTAGGTTTTATAGGCTATAATATTGATTAATATATTCATTACAATTTACCTATTACCAATTTCCAACACGCTGCAAGTAAAAAAAAAAACCCAACAAAACAAGCCCTTTCATACGATGCACTAATGTGCTTTTTGAAATCACATTTCTAAAGCAATAAAATATCGTCACGCACATTTGTGTTTGTGGTATTTTAAAGTTGGTTCAACTATTATTGTGTATGTTTTTAAACACTTCAGATCATCATAACTTCAGGAATACATTTTAGATTCACTTCACTGCAAGTAGGTTGATGACTGTTGTTGAATGGTAATTGTTATTATCGTGATGGAAAAGACAATACCTGGATTTGCGTCAGGAGAATCAATTAGGGGGCCTATATGTATTTTGCCCAACCTGTCGTGAATATGTATTGAATACTCAGTGCGTGATGCACTAATATACTTTTTGAAATCACATTTCTAAAGCAATAAGATATCGTCACGCACATTTGTGTTTGTGGTATTTTAAAGTTGGTTCAACTATTATTGTGTACGTTTTTTAAAAAAACACTTCAGATCATCATAACTTCAGGAATACATTTTAGATTCACTTCACTGCAAGTAGGTTGATGACTGTTGTATTATTGAATGGTAATTGTTATTATCGTGATGGAATAGACAATACCTGGATTTGCGTCAGGAGAATCAATTAGGGGGCCTTATATGTTATGTATTGAATACTCAGTGCGTGATGCACTAATATACTTTTTGAAATCACATTTCTAAAGCAATAAGATATCGTCACGCACATTTGTATTTGTGGTATTTTAAAGTTGGTTCAACTATTATTGTGTATCGGATTTTAAACACTTCAGATCACAGAGGGGGTTCTATTATTGAATGGTAATTGTTATTATCGTGATGGAATAAACAATACCTGGATTTGCGTCAGGAGAATCAGTTAGGGGGGCCTATATGTGTAATTTTCCCAAACTTGTCCTGAAAATGTACTGAATACTCAGTGCGTGTGAAAGTTGTTCTCCAGTGGGACTCGAACCCAGTTCTCCAGTTCTCCAGATCAGTAGCCTGGCATCATCATCTAGACCACCGAGCTTGCACCTGATGGCCAGGGTTGCGAGTAGCGAGTACTATTTTTGCAAGTGTTTTCACACGCACTGAGTAGGCCTATTCAGTAGGGTATACATTTCACAACGGGTTGGACAATATTCCACCTATACATGTTCTATTGCATTAAGCATTAAGAGTTTCGCCTGAGTAGACCCCACTAAAGGCTCTGTCTCTAGGTCCGATCAGGTGAATTTTTACCAATTTTATCTAGGGTTATCTATGCCATAGTTACCAACCGTCATGCATCGTGCGGGACAGTCCCGCGTTTCAAAGTGATTTTGGATGAAACACGGATTTTGCAGAAGCACATGCGAGATCCGTCATAAATGTGTCACGCATTTAGCACTTGTGTGATAACGAATTATCACAAAAATTAGAAGAAATTGGTTTTATCAAAAATATAAAAACGGTCATACAGTAGCTTGAGTCATTTGAGAGCTTTCATTATCTCGTTCGAGAATCAATTCACAGAGAATATTTCTCCTTTCCGACCAAAACAACCCAGCCAACCACGCACTTGTAGAATCTGGTAGTCGCGAGCAGTCTTGTGAGTTTATTGTTACAACCAACCGTTGATTATGTGGCTGGAACCCGAACTTCCGCAGGGGTTACGTAATAAGTAGTATACCGTATATACTCGCGTATGTCCTATAAGTTGACCCATGTATAAGACGACCCCCGAGTTTTAGAAGATTTTTGTTTGATATTTGTATGTCTGGCGTATAAGACGACTCCCTGTTTCATGGTCGGAATTCCTAATTTTGTGTGGTCTTGATACTGCATCTAGCTGGATAAATAATAACATTTTATGAGTTTTTAAATCTTCACCCATCAAAATCGTATTTTCCCGTATTTAAAATTGCTTTAATTCATACAACATTTAGTTGCTTCACTACAGTAGTAAGTTCGCGTGTTACGGACGATCCGCACATAAGACGAACATGATTATAAAAATCTAAAATGAATGTCGTGCTGCCCCTAAATAGCGTGTCCGGGTTCCTGTCTAATCTGTAAGGATGCGAACTGTCTTCGGATGGGACTTTTTAATTTCTAAATTAAATTTAGAATGTTATAGGCATGCATTCAGCTATCTCTCCCCTATTCTATATAATAATCTTCTAGCTGATTTTACAGTTTAAATTACTTTCAAACGTACATATAAAAGATATATATTAAACCCTGATTACTAATACCTTCAATGAATTATCTTATATGTAAGTGCATTAATATATCTTGTACAATTAGCCATTTTTTAAAATTAGTTATTAGGTGTATAATCACCTGTTAGATAGCTGACTATTTTATACCTGACAGTATTCTGCACTGTCTGCTTTGTATTGTTTACCTTTTACTTACATTCTTTACCTGTTTGATGTATTGAATTGTCTTGTATTTCATTTTTTAAAGAGAGCCCCTGAATATCAGCTGACCACCTTGCCATAACTGGAAGGGTCACTCTCTTTAAATATGGTTTAATAAAATGAAATAAATAAAAAGTAGTGATGCTCGCTAAATCTTTGCAAATCCATAAACTTTGTGGTTATATCACATATTCAGGCCTATCTGTGCAAATCTAAGTCTCATACCCTTGGCAAATTAAGCCCACAAATTAAATATTTGAGACTATGTTAAGTTTCATTGGATATTAACGATGGTAACTGCAATTTAGCTTCGTTTCTCAATTTAATTTTCAAACTTTCAATGCAGGTAAGCTAAGTTACCTTCCAAAAATAGGAAGGTCCACTGATTAATCTCAGATAAGGTAGCATAATACATACTACAAGTATCGAAATACATGCCATCGTGTCGGGATTCAATATTTCGACATTAATTATGCCATCATCAGGAATCATCAGGTTTCCTGATGATGACATAATTAATGTCGAAATATTAAATCCCAACACGATGGCGTGCATTTCGATACTAAGAGTATGTATGCTACCTTACCTTCCAAATGTTGCCCTAAATGCCGGAATAGTTTAATAGCATGTTTAGGTCAAAGAACCTAAATCATACTGTACTACAGCATCAGTGAAAAAACATATTTAAATGTTTTATAATAATGATAGATAGACAGATCCACGGTTGATTTGGTTGAGATACGGTAACCTCCCATTGTGGAAAATCTGCCACTACCGGTTTTTTTTTTTTTTTTTTTTTTTTTTTCATTCACATGTATTATAATTTGCATATTGTATAATGCATATAGAATACTTAATACATATATACAATTCCTACAAAGAGTGCCACCGAGAGGTGACAGGGGGAAAATCCCCGAGGTCCAAGCTTACCAAGGGGCCCATCAAATTTCTTTTTTCAATATTTTTTTTCAACAATAATAACTATCATGAGCCCTCATTAATGGTATGAGTCCCCTAATAATGGGCCCCTCCAGATTGATAGGCCCCCGTGTGTCTTGTATCTCCGCGGCGCAATTTTTCTTGCGCTTCGCGCTCGTAACTGGGTGTCCCCACCAACCCTTTCCCCTATTACAATTTCCCCTCTTGGTTGCACAGCCTACAATTATATATTCCCCCAGACCGAAACAATCCACGCTCCTGGAATTAAAATGGTTCAGTTCAGTTGGTTGTAGGCCTCGCTACTTACCACTAACACAAAAATACAGTGTACACGCCGTGACGGCTAATCCAAGAGTACGTTTAGTTTTCCAACGCATCTTGCCTGAAACGAAATGGTTGCTGTTCAATTAAAGTTCATTATCAATACTATTAATTATGACATTACTAACACTGACTCTACCATAATCTATGACGTTATGATAATAAAGCAGCCTGTAGCATTTGTAATTAATCAAACTTTTTGACTGCGCCAATTACACAAATATCGTCACAGGTGCCAAGTGACGAATAAACCAGACTAAAAACCTTCAGAAAATAAGAAAGTTTTTAGATTATCTTTCAATAAAATTAAATTTGCGGACTGTCTAACACAGGGTAACTGATTCGAGAGATTGGGGCTGAACAGAAAATAAACGTTGAGCATATTATGTCTTACGTTTAAAGGGACTTGCTAACGGTGTTTATCAGTGGAACCGAGTGCACGGAATGGAACGTAGGGCGTATGTTGCGTCGTATTTTGTAATAATTTTCGTATTTTATAATACCTGTCGTATTTTGTAATAAACCTGGTCGTGTTTTGTAATAACAGAGCTGTCGTATTTTGTAATAAAGTCTGTCGTATTTTGTAATAGAACATCAAATGCCTAGACCTATGTTTTTTCTATACTTTTGCAGTTTCTAAGGAATTAAATGAAAACTTGTGTTAATGGTTGGTGTGAGTATTATGATAATAAGAAGTCAAAGGTCGCATGGTCGGTTGCTCTTTTTTCTATAGTGAAACAGTTTTTGATGGGTTAAATAACATAGGCCTATTTGTGTTGATGATTGGTGTGACTGTGTGATAAACAGAGGTCGAAGGTCATATTCCTTTTATTTTACAATAATAAACGTTGTATAAATATAGAATTAATTATAGATGTGATAACAATGGCTTGTGATTGGGAACCGTCAGAAGTTGCATGGTCAATTTTACTCAGTGTCATTTTAAAAGACCATTATTTTTGTATTATTTTTTCATTTATAAAATAAAATATGGTGTAATAAAATAACTTCCGCTTGGGATCATCTGATATAATTTTAAGGTCAGGGGTCATTAGCGGTTATTTGACAAATTTCCACATTACAGTTATATATTAATTATACGTTTGTTTATTATACAATAAATGAAAAGATTTTTAAAAATATAATTTTTCATGCGACCTCTTTTTATCCCACAAATGTTTTGTTTAACACATCAACAACCTTAATCGCTCAAAACTGCAAAAGTATAGAAGAAAACCATACGATAGACTTTATTACAAAATATGACAGCGCAGTTTATTACAAAATACGACAGAAAGTTATTACAAAATACCACAAATCTGTTATTACAAGCTACTAGGTTTGTTACAAAATACGACAAGTATTACAAACGAAAAGGTTTCTTACAAAATACGGCAGGGATTTCAAAATATGACAATTATTTTTAAAAATACGACTTAACAGGCGTAAGATACGATGTTATTTAAATGGAAGTGACTTTATAAACACAAGAAAAATTATTTTAAATGTAATTCTTTCTTTAACAGGTACGGTAGCCAGTGTAAATCATAGTGTTTAATCGGGTTTAATGTATTCGGGCAGCAGATTTTTTAACTTTCTGTTAAATCGGTATATGAAGAAAAAATGCATGAATAAGTTTTTCAGTTGTGTTGGAACAGACGTACTTACGATTTCACCAAAGTTTGCGAAAATACAAAAAAATGCGTTGATTATACGTTAAAATACAAACGACATTTTAATTTGACATCGAAAAGATGTTGAACTTTATGTTGTTACTGTGATTTTAATATCTCAACTAGTTTTCAACGTTTATATTGTTGAAATAATGTTGAAAAAATAATAGATAGGCCTACTTTGAAACACATAACACATTTTCATTTTAACATTTTATATTTAAATTTAACGTTGGAAAAATATTGAATAAATATATTGTAATTGTTATGTTAAAATCGCAATCCGATTTCAAAGTGAATTCATTGTTGAAATAAAGTTTGGTAAAATCTTAAACTCTGAGTTGAAAACACAACTTATTTTAAATGTTGCTTATACGTTAAAATAAAAACTATATTTTAACTTGACATTGAAAAGATGTTAATTAATGTTGTTACTAAAATTTTAATATCTCAACCAGTTTTCAACATTTATCAATTGTTGAAACAACGGTGAGTAAATAATGGGTGCTTTGTAGACGCAATACATTTTCAACAATGATTAACATTGAAAAAGGCAGGCCTATGTTTAAATTTAGCGTTGGAAAAATGTTGATTGCAATTGTTATGTTAAAATGTCAACCGGATATCAAAGTGAATTTAATGTTAAAATAAAGTTGAGTAAAAATCTATAAAAAAAAAAAAAACCAAAAAAAAACTTATGTTGATACTTTAACTTTAAAATCTCAACATATTTGCAATGTTTATTCAACGTTAAAAAATGTTCAATAAACAATAGGATTGTGGTGGAAAAACATATCACTTTTTCCACATTGATTCTACATTAAAATACAAACTATAATTTAACTTGATGTTGTAAAAATGTTGAACGTTTAATTATTGTTGAAATAACATTAAGCAAGTAATGGATACATTGTAAAAATACACAACACATTTTCAATGTTGATTCTACATAGAAATAAAAATTATGTTTAGAGTTAACATGGGAAAATGTTGAAAAAACATTGTAATTGTTATGTTAAAATCTCAACCAGATTTCAAAGTGAATTCAATGTTGAAATGAAGTTGTATAAAAAAAATACATTTTAACTTCACATTGAAAAAACATTGAACTTATGTTGATACACTAACTTTAAAACCTCAACATATTTGCAACGTGTATCTAACGTTCAAAAAACGTTCAAAAAACAATAGGAGTTTGGTTGAAAAACGTAACACATTTTCAACGTTGATTCTACATTGAAATGCAAACTATATTTTAACGTGACGTTGAAAAGATGTTGAACTTACGTAGTTACTGTAACATTAAAATCTCAAACATATTTTCAACGTTTATTTAACGTAGAAAAATGTTGAATAAACAATACGATTCTGGTTGAAAAACGTAACACATTTTCAACGTTGATTCTACATTGAAATGCAAACTATATTTTAACTTGACGTTTAGAAGATGTTGAAAACATGTTGGTACTGTAATTGTTAAATTATCAACCAAATGTCAACATTAATTCAACGCTGAATTAACATTAAATTATCAACCGGGACTTGGGTTAAATACACAACATATTTTCAACATTGATTCAATGTTGAGTATATGTTGTCACCATGATTTTAACGTTTCAACTACATTTCAACGTTGATTCAACGTTGAATTAACGTTGTGTGCCCGCTGGGTATGATTTGTAAAAGATCACCTTTTCATTGTTGTTTCCATCTTTAAAAATTTGTTGCTGTACAGTAGGTTTCTTGAGCAAGTAATATCGGCTTTTTGTCGTTTTAAAAAGTAGAACATCACGTTCCCCTTATTTCTTTTCCGAAGCCCTTTGACGTTTTCCTTAATACATTTTAGAGACATGTATTTTTTAAGGTTGTGTCTTATCTAGGATTTGATTATCACCCTCGCTTATTGTTGGTATTTCTTGGTATTTTTTCCTTTTTCCTTTTTTATTTTTGGTCTGTTTGTTTGTTGTTTTTTTTTTTATGCTTTTCCGGTTGGTTCTGTTTTTCTGCGTCAGACTGTGTGACCTCACAAGCAGATTGAAAAGCCTGTGTGAGCATAGATTTAACTTTATCTTCAAGTTCTGGCGAAGGGGACCTGTAGTGGGGTTAAGCGATTTATTGAGTAGTTCATGGATAGTTTTAAGCGCCTCGTTTAGTGGAACTTCGAGTTGCTATGCGCGATTGTGTGGATGATGAACTTTGATTTACTTCACCGTCTGATTAATTTTCCGATACTTCACCCTCTTCTACATTTTCGTTTTCTTTTCCACAGTTGATGAGTTATTTAATGTAATTCGATTGTGTGAATGAAGGCACCAATGCTATGGCAAATATTCAGCCGTGAAGCCGCTAATCGCAGAGCCATTCAAGGATTTTAGAGTTTCTAATATTCGATTTTATAGAGGCCTACAAAGCTATTGTTCTAAAACAGTGGATTCTTTTGTTACAGAACAAAAGAATCGTGACGTTTCCGTTTTGCTGCGTTTTGTTCCATTCACTATATTTACGTTAATAGCCTTTGTACTTTGCCTGCATTCCTTTAATAAAAAATCTTCGCCTTTAACTTTTAATAGGCAGAAATCTCCCACAACCTAATATGCTTAGCATACACAGTTGACCAATTTCAATTTTTCATTTGTTAATGCTTAACACTCTGCATAAAGAGGGTATACTTGTCACTTATTTTTAGAATCAGTGACCTGACGAAAGAAGAATGATCAGATCATAAACGCACAATTATTCATTATCTGCTCAAATGGGGTATACCAGCAAACAAAAAACTATAACTTTCACGAAAGTTTGGGTTAGGTATGTCAGAAAATGTAATCACAGGATCGGATTTAATATTTATCATAAAATGTATAGGCCTATTATTATTATTATTATTATTATTATTATTATTTATTTATTTATTTATTTATTTATTTAGTTATTATTTATTATTATTATTATAAAATAATAATATTAATAATAATAATAACAATAATAATAATATGATAATGAAGATGATGATAATAATAATAACAATACTTTTTAGTGTTGCCTTTTTTATGAGATTCATTTTAATGTTTTCTTTTGTGTGAGAATGTAGCTTTTTTGAGATTTTACTGTTTTACTATGGACGTTTTTTTGTGTCTTATCTATTTTTATCTTAATTGTATATTTCAAAACTTAATTTTTGTTTTGCAATACATTTATGTTGAATCTTGAATTCATTAAACTAAATACAACGGTGCAGCAGCGTTCTAGTATCATTTAGTTCTTAAATTACTTTATAAAGTGTGTGATGATACGCTTTTAAAGCTTCATATCGCCGGTAAAATAATTCATAATGTAGCACCGAACATATATTTGGATGGAAAAAGCTTGTAGAATTATTTTGGTGCCAAACTTTTAATTACAGATATTGTGACGCTAAATTACAAACAAACGTTTTCCAAATTATAAAATTGATTGAGTAAGTTTGACTGATTTACTTTCGTCGTAAAATCAGACAATTTGAATTCATTAATTTGTGCTGTAAGCCATCTTTACGCATTTGTGTGTGACTTTAATAGTTTTCTCTGTGGAGACTTATTGTTTAGCATAGTATTTATGGCAAACATATTATAATATTGATCGTATTAATCATTTAGTTAACTATATCTTAGAAATTATTGTGTTTATATGCCTATATTATAAAGATGTAATGAGAGCCATAATTCTCTTCTTCAGGCCTAATTCTCCTGAGCTTATTTTTGATTAAATTAGGTGTTGTTTATTTCATATTAAGCATTATAAAATGGAATAAATATACGTTTTTTGCTTTAACGTTATCTAGAAACGTGTATTAGACTTGGTTTTATCTTTAGATCGTATTATAATCAAGGAAGTATTAAATAATCGAATGGAATTTCTCACTTGTGTCTCAACAAGCAACTAAGGGGTTTGTATTGTCATTGAGTTTTACACCTGTTTTAGTCCGGGAAGACCAGTCGGCCTGATGATGCGTCCTGGGTCGGTCGTGAAGTATTATTATATATTGCCACAAAAGTCTAGTAGAAAAAATTAATTCGTTTAATGGTTTAATGATATAAAACCTCCATTCCGTATCATTCTTCATGTGCGTTATGAAAAGAACAAGAACAATGAACACATGGGTGGAAGCATACAAGAACATTCATTTAATATGTTCATTTGTTTCACGAGAGTACATAACAAATCCTTTGGCGACTTCATCCTCCACCCCCCCCCCCCTTCTTAAAAAGAGTACACAGTAAAAATGATGACCGTACAGACACAGTGCAAGCTTTTTTTAAACTGCATATAGTCGGACTGCTGGAAGAAATAAATACTGTATAATGAATATAGACCCATATATAATTTTATTTTAGGTAGGGCTATACTTCTGTAGCTTAAATACAGTAGGTCAATGAAACTATATAGTCATTTTCTTATGGACGATTTTTTTTAATTTTCAGCAATTTTACTACTCCATTTACGATCTAAATTCATACATTCTATATCATGTCTTTTGCAGTCATTAATTTGTTTCCATATCCTTAGCACACTTAAATCTTTAACACTGTAATTTAAATGGAAGCGCCTATGTATCGGATTGGACGACCTGTAGTGAGCGAGGCGGAGCTCATTGTATGGGTCAAGTGTTAGGGTGTCACCACCCAATTTGATATGATGTATTTTGAAATAATGAACATTTTTAGGCTTAATAATACACTTGTCACGCCCTTTATTAACGGCTGTCGGTGCTTTCACTCGCCATCGGTTGTTTTCTATTACTGTCATTGAATTCCAATTCTGGACGTTTGATCCGAAAAACCAGCTTTGTACTTTAAGACACCCGATATTTGTTAATGTATAATTGTTAATGTAGTCGGTTATATATGGCTTATCTGGATTCATAGGTTGTAGAAATTCATCTACGTCAATTTTAATTATCCACTCTGATGTGTGTTTATTCCTCCACACACAATCATTCTCATGGGCTATCTGGACTTCTAAATAGGTTTTCCATGGTGTGTGTTCATGCGCCCAGGGAATGACCGACACGAACCCATTGGCTAAATACCTACTTAATGCGTTAGATAAACTCCCTCTTTTAGAATTGTCGTATATATAAACATGGTCAACTCCTATATGAAGGTGAAAATCCAACCACGTTGGAAAGAAATGATCCATATCCTTTGCCATTGTACAAATGATTAACGAGTGCTTTTTCTTCTCGTTTAATGTTTTATGGGAAGCACATATTGGAATTTTAACATAGGCGACTGACGGCAATTCCTTCCTTCGTAAATTAATATAAAATCTCTGTTGAGAAAAAAATGATGAATTCAAAAACTCGTCTGGAAATGGACATGTGATTACCAAAACATATTGAGGAGTTGCTCCAAAACTTCGACCATCGTTTAAAATTGCATCAGTTACCGTTCTGTTCCCATTTGGAAATTCACATAAAAATGATTTCGTACTCCAGTTGTTTCCAAAATATGTAATTCCTATAAACACTACTCGATTTTCTCTATAGTCGGCAAATACGGAGTGTATCGTTGGCATGAATTCACACAGTAGTTTGTTTTTTAAAAAACAACTTTCTTCGTCTTCGTCACTTGAATTCTGAACACTACAATTCGGTTGTGCGGTAGGCATGTGGACATTATTGTCGAGAAAGTTCCTTCCACTTGAAAAAAGGGCTTTTAGCTGTCCATTCCTAAGAATAGTTTCATTTGAACTCAACCAAATAATAAGTCGAAAATTACATAGAATCACCAAAAATAAGATAATCCTTTTAAATGTACACCACTTCCTTCGTGAGAAAATAAACATTGTGAATATCTTGAACTAGTCCATTAAGATGTCAGGCCATGAACAACCCTAGCACAAAACGAATGGCAAACGTGTTTGCAAATCTCTTTTCTGACAAATATTTGCTTCTAAAGACTCTAAAGGCTGATATATGGGCTTTTATACAACATCAGCGAAGCGGAACAATTACGATAGTATAATACATACTCAGCAAGCATGCTCTAAGTATCGAAATGCACGCCATCGTGTCGGGATTCAATATTTCGACATTATTGATGTAATCATCAGGAATAATGATGATGGCATAATTAATGACATAATTAATGTCGAAATATTGAATTCCGACACGATGGCGTGCATTTCGATACTTGGAGTATGTATTATACTATAAACCGAAAGGTCCACTGATTAATCTCAAATAATAATATATTTGGTATATTATATGTATATATATATATATAATATAATAAAATATATTTATGTTCCGAAACACGTCAATTCATCTTTTATTGTTTGTCTCTGACACATAGTATCTTATATATATATATATAGCCTATATACTGTCTCTTATACACATCTAGATGTGTATAAGAGACAGATTTATAACAATACATATATAAAATAAATTAAAATATATTGAATGATGTGATAATGAAAATAAAGCAAATATATTATTGTATTCATAAAGGCCGGAGGAACATTTCTGATGATGACATAATTAATGTCGAAATATTGAATCCCAACACGATGGCGTGCATTTCAATACTTGGAGTATAGTATTGTTAATTTTCTTTGTTGATTAAACATTAACATGACTGTTTGAAGCTTGTTGAGATCAACAGTATTTAAAGTATTAAGAGTATAAAATAAATGTTTGGAGTGAGACCTGGGAGGTGCCCTTGTACATATTCTGAGCGCTTTTCTTGTAATCGGAACAAGCAATGAATTTTAGACGTTTCAGAACTTGCCCAGAGGCACAATCTAGAAAATTTACCACTGGTTGTTGCCAAGCAATGTTGCAGTCGTTAATATAAGGTAAAATAAGTGTATTATATAGGGTACTGCTGTGGTCTAAGGGTTATGACGGTCTTGACAGCGAGAAGTCGCAGGTTCGAATCCCTTCAGAATCATTTTATTACACAGTTTCTTTATTCATTATTTAAAGAACAGTATTCGTTGAGAGTTATGCTACACGATGTATTATCATGTCCTTTATTCGATCACTGTATTTACCTTTCTTTGATGATTTATATATAATTTCAGTGTTAACGGCTATCTTGATTTATATTATATGCGACTATTTGTTTCCAGCCGTACTTATTGTGTAATAGAGTGTATCTGGCGGTAATTTGAATCTGTTTAACCAAGCCTCTGTGGTTATTCGTTAAGAGCTATGCTACACGATGTATTATTATGTCCTTTATTCGAACACTGTATTTAACACATCTTGATGTGTATAAGTGTATATATATATATATTATACGTATAAATATATATATAGCCTATATATATATATGTGTGTGTGTGTGTGTGCGTGTGGCTATTTATATATGTATTTACATATGTATGTGTGGTTTTTTTTTCAATTTGAACATTGTAAATATGGCTATTAAGTCTAAATCTTGAATCTGAACAGGCCTACAACGTTGAGTCCAAAGGTTATGTCATAAAACTTCTCAACGTTCGATAGGTTTGTATACGGGCTATAGCGGTAAATTGTTGCACTACAGTTTTTTGTTCAGAGTTACAAACCAGGACTACCGTGCTTTTATTTTAAAGAGTCCGCTTCGACTTGACTCAGACTTTCCGTAGGACACCCCGACTTTGGCTAACATTAGCCATCTTCTTCAACCACAAATTTCTAAGCTACTTCCGGTTTGATGGCAATGGTGTAGGCCTACGCATTCTTGTTGGTATGGGCGGGAAAGAAGACTTTATTCTCGCCCTGGAGCCACGTTCTGCAAAGTCATATCATCGCCCATTACGCCTACAGTGTTTCGATATTATTATTTAAATTTTGAATCGTCGTTGGACTCTTCGAAACGGTCTTCTAAAGTTATTGGTAGTAGGCTATAATATCAGTGATGTACTTATGCTCTGATGTTAACAAATAATTATATTGCCTAATGTTAATAAAATATAAAGCTCTGCTGGTGAAATGTGTATGTTTAAATGCTTTGTTATTCTCGTGTAATTGTACAACATTGAAAACAGTGATGTTGAACGCCAGCAATGGAACTGTCTGTACCACTAACTTGGTGACGTCAAAGGAAATGTTCGAATGTGAGTTTAAGCATTAAAAAAAACCCAATAACCTTTCTTGATAATCATATCTTAGATTACTGCATGAATGCTTTTATTTTGTAGTTTTGTGATTGTTAATTGTCATCATCATCAAGTTCATTTAACGATGTAGAAGGAATATAGGGTATGTTCACACACAAGGCTGGCGTAGTGTACGCCTTTGTGTGTGAATTAGGCAGTGGCGTTACTTACGCCACTCACAACGTCACCTCCGTACCTGCAGACCGCAGTAGCTAACGCCACGGAGCTGACGCCAGTGATGCTTGAATGATTTGACTTCATTTCAAGAGATTGACCAATCACGATTGCAATAGATTAGTTACTTTGATCTCTTTCTGTGCTCTCTATAAATGAAATGGTATGGGTAAAGGGGTTCTTTTTCAATTGCATTTTACTTAGTTTACAATGTATATGATTTGTTGATTGTGTTTTGTAAGATATTTTAACCTAATTAGACTGTCTATTAAAATTTGCAACATCAACAATTGTTCCACAATGCTAGCTAAAAAATCAGGAGTAAAATTGTTCATTTAAAATACAATAATCATATAAGTTCACTTCGAACAATTCACAGATTTTAATGATGCACTGTAAATATTTTACTACAGTTAAGAACACGTACATTATTTAAAACTGAAAACTATTCCCCCACAGGCCTATATTGCTACAAGTTTAACGCCAGCGTTAATATAGCGAACGCTGTTTGTGGAATTTTAATCCGTGGATTATCTACGCCGGCCTAAGCTACGCCAGTCTTACGCCGTATGTGTGAACATACCCATAGAAAGGTTGTTATTTGACCATATGGGAATAGAAAGGATAATTATTTTCTCATTCAATTTTTAATAGTATGCTTCGAAATTTTAGATACCGTGTAGTAGGGATTAAAAAGTAAGCAACTGCAAAATGAGTAGTTCTAAATTTATAATAAAAATATTATTATTATTATTATTATTATTATTATTATTATTATTATTGTTATTATTATTGTTATTATTATTATTATTATTATTAAGCTCAACACATTTTAATTAACTAATAATAATAATAATGATACAGGTCTCCCTCTAATTAAAAATCACTTTTGGGACCAGAGTTTTCATGGCCTTTGTTAGCTTTGGTCTTCAATTTAAAAAAAAAAAAATTAAAATAAAATACTGACGTAAAATACTGGCCGCAGAAACGTGGGATGTAATTAGAGGTGGTATTTAATTAGACCTGTAATTATAAATATTTATATTATTATTGATAATCAACCAAGTTGTTCAACAGTTAGAATAGGCATATCTTAATAATGTATGTTCTTTCTACAGTGAACGCATCGAAGACTTTGACCACAGTGTTACTTAGCGTCGCATCCTTGCTCACGTTTTTAACCTTCTGTATGTTCCTCGAGTCGTTCTCATATATGACTTCAAAAGTACCGTTTGGAGCCAGGAGGGGCTACCTTGCTTGGCTTATTGGAATTTACCCCGTGAGTAAACATATTTTTATGTTTGTAAGCGATTTTGTATAGTGGTTACGTCATGTAGATTTATGAATTTTGAACCCATAGAAAATATTCTATACAGATTGACTCTGAAAACAAAGATTATATGCTTCTGGGTGACCTTTACTGTGATTTATCCGCCATCCCCCACTGCTATACAAAAAAAAATTATTGATATAGGCCTATCTGGCAATTTAACCCAAATTATCAAAACCCCAAAAAGGTTAACGTGACAGTCAAACGCCCTTATTGATGTTATATACTCGACAAATAATAAGATATCAATTCTGGTGTCATCCACTTCGGTATTAGTGATCATTCCCTAATTTACTGTATTTGGGATAAGGAAAGTAAGCATAAAAATGGTCATAAGTACAAGATAACTAGGTCATGTAAACATTTTGATAAGGATATCTTCTTCGAAGATGTATACCTAATATTTCCTGGGACTCCGTATACAATGCATGTAATATCAATGATTCTTTAACTAATTTTAATTCTCTCTTTACCAACATTATTAATATCCATGCTCCATTAAAAAGGAAACGTGTTAAACAAAAAGTGTCTCCATGGCTTAACAAATAGGCCTACATTATAAAGCTAATGCGAGATCGTGACAATAGTAAAACCGAAGCAATACCGGTACTCTTTAATAATGATGGTGATTGGGAAACCTATAAACGACTAAAAAAACACAGTAAATACCGAAATTAAGAACAGTAAGCGACAATACCTTACGGATGGAATTGAAACCTCTAGAAATAATATTAAAAAATACTTGGGATCACCTGAGAAAAATCGTACCGTCGAAAAAGTCGAGTGCCACCATAAAATTAATTAAAACTGAAAATAATCAAATTACTTCACCCAAAGATATTGTCGATACTCTAAATAATTACTTCACGAATATAGGACCAAATCTAGCATCCAAAATCGATTCTAGTAGTGATGCTTTAAATTTGATAAAATCATGAAAATATAAATACAAACCAACCGGATCCGCAATTGCCTAATATGGATCGGGATAATGCAAGTTTTAATTTTGAACCAATTACCAATGATTATACTCTTTCATTAATTAATAACAACGAATTATAAAACAACAGGATGTGACAATATTCCTGCATAACTTATTAAAATTGTTGCACCGATTATTGCTCCTGTTATCACACATATTATTAACCATTCATTTATGAGTTGCACTTTCCCAACTGAATGGAAATTTGCTAGAGTAAATCCAATTTTTAAAACAGGTAACCGTTCGGACCCTGGCAACTATAGAGCTATTTCAATCCTTCCACAACTTTTGTGAAAGAGCAGCATTTGAACAATTATACGCCTTCTTAAATAATAATAATAACCTTATTTCGTGTTATCAATCGGATTTCCGTCCCTCGTTTTCCACCACCACTGCCTTGGCTAATTAAACAGAACAATTAAATGGCTAGATGATATTGATAGAGGTAACGTAATTGGGTTGGTCTTACTTGATATAAGCAAAGCTTTCGATACGGTAAATCATCATTCTTCTTAAAAAGATTGATAAATATTGCAAAAGTAAATACAGTTCTTCATGGTTCAAGAGCTACCTAAGTGGGCGTTCTCAAATAACGAGTATAACTGGTACAATTTCTGAACCAAGTGAGCCTACCTGTGGGGTGCTATACAAGGATCCATTATTGGTCTGCTGGGATTTATCATATATACTAATGGCCTACCTGAACCCTTTATGACATTTTAGTGTGTCGTTGAATCAGTGTGACAAAATAATGTTGGTTAAACGTTATAGAAAATTGATATTTATATAGTAAAACCTAGGTCAAACTTTTTCGTTATTATCACGTTCCAATAATGTTACAGTTTAATGTTCAAACGTACCGTAATTTTGTATGCATATTATTTTATAACGTTTGTCACATTGTGAAACGTTCTTATTAACGTCATTTTCTGACAACATAACCGCGGGGCACGTTTGCGAACGTTATGATAACGTTTTAGTAGCAGTAGTTAAAAATCGCTTCATATAACCTTATTTTGCGACCTAGCTCTTCCTCACTTTATTTCGAGCCGAGCCCCCTCCCCCATATTTTAAGACTCCTAGATATCCCACTGTACAAAGTAATAAGAAACTATAAATATACAAATATAATTGTGGAAATATTGCAACAGATATACGTCTACTAATAGAAACAGATGATAAAATGGCTTGTTGTAATAGAGGGGCCGTAAAATATAAATGTATGCCTTGCCAATATAAAAAAAAATCAATTATTTATAACATTATAATTAGGCCTATGTAAAATATGGTCGAAAATGTTTAGTCCTAAATTGCTTGTCCTAAAAAACAATAAAAGATGTACTATGCGAAAAGTTTAATTGGTTTAGGTGAAAATTAGTTTAATCCTAATCTTATAATAACGTTTTGCATCCAACAGATTTGATTAAAAAATACTATAACTGATGCCTAAAATTAAATTATAGTAGATTAATATAGTTTTACACAATAATTATTGTAAACAAACAAAATATTAAATCGATGATGATTAATGCTAATTAGATTTTTTTATTTGGTTCTATATTTTAGGTTTTCTCAGCAACCTCTCTCGCTGGTATATTTATCCCACGTGCGTCTATCCTAGCCAACTGGTGTGCTAATGTGTAAGTGATAATTTTTTCTTCTGGATTGAATATGATAACACTTCAAATTATGAAAGTAGAGATCGAGTGCCGAATTCAACATCATAACTGAAAAGATTGTGAATCATACCAGTGTATTGCAACATGGTCTATACATAGTATATATATATAGGCCTATATATATA